CTCAGGCGGAGCTGGAGCCGGAGAACTAGGCGGCCATGAGTTCGGCGCGTCTCCAGCTGCCCCGAAATAAAGGCCTGGTCCCCACGGTCTCCCTCTCTCTCCTTTGCGAGCCCAGGGCGGTGGGGTTCTGGGGCGTGGAGGGGGACTGCACTGCGCCGGCTGGTGCCGCAGGCGTGTTGTGAGCCCGGGTTACCCCGACCTGGAAACCTCCCAGAATGAGGAACGCGCTGGCCAGGGTCGCGCCTCAAGTCCGCGGCTCCCATCTGCAGCGGTAGGAGTTAGGCAGCTTGGCCGGGGAGAAAGCCCGGGTGTGACTTGGCCCCCACTAGTCATGGGACCTCAGGCAAATGTTTTACCTTTTCTGAGTCTGTTTTCTTATCTGTAAAATGGGTATGATTCCTATGCCATGGGTCATAGTAAGAATTAATTGAGATCATGCCTGAAAGTGCTGGTATAGAGGTCTTCATAGCAGGTCTGGTACTTGTATTCCCATGCGGAAACCAGATTGTAGAGAAACAAGGCCAAATGAATTAAAAGGAGACAGCCCCACTCACACTCCCCGTGCCCCCTGCCCTCAACGAAACTCAGCAGGAGCGGCCCCTCCAGCCAGGCGCTGCCTCTCACCGGGAGGTTTAGCTGAGGCTCCAGACCTGGCTGTTCTGCCCAGTGGTCTGTCCTCCTTCCTGAACCCGGCGGCAGGAGCTAGGGCGGCAGGAGCCACCGAAAGGCCTGCAGGGCTGGGGAGCTGGTCTCCTTCTAACTTCCTCCAGGTTGGGTGCTGGAGGAGGGTGAACAGACAGAAACTAGGTGAGAGGTTGCAGGCAAAGGAAAGGGGCAGGGTGCCCTGGAGGGGAGGGGAGTGGGGGACAGATTAGGAGGGGGCTTGGCTGCAGAGCCTGGAAGAGGGAATAGGGGGCACCCAGCCATCTACCAGGGTTCTGGGAGCTTTGTAGGGGACTTTCGGGGAAGGAGGCGCTGCATCCTGACCTGCCCCTACCTCCAGGTAATGATCTGCTCTGGGCCTCTGGGCTGCCTGCTGCTTTTGCTCCTGGGAGAAGGTTCCAGAAGGGGCCTCAGCCACCCCGTCCCAACCCCTTTTCCTGCCCTGCTGGCCCAAATGGGTCTGCTGTCCCGGCAGCATCCAGGGAGGCCACAGGAAAGGGTCAGGGCCAAGATGGCACGCAGCTCTGAGGCATGGGGCCTGTTCTCTTTGCCCGGGTGTGTGAGTGTGTGTGTATGTGCAGGTGCTCACAAGGTTACTGTGTGGGGACGGGATGATGAGGCCGACTGAAGGGGACCACTCTCCCCCATATATCCATACGCTTAATAATCCTAAGAAGTCCTGTAACTGAGCCCCTTTTAATGCTCATAGTATTTTTGGTGGCTAGACTTGAATAATTTAATTCTTAATTAGGTCTTTGTTCAAATGTTAACCATTCTTCTTGGTCAACCCCTTTAGTTCTCAGGAATGTAGTAATAAGTTGCTGATGTGGTATCTCTTTGCCATGCAGGAGGAGATCACTTCAGAGGCAGGAAGATAATTTATGAGTTTGTTTTGCAGAAGGAAAGAATATCTTCAAGGTAGCTATAACCAGCTGCTGGTACCCAGGAGTCTGATACAGGAAAAAGTTATCTGTGACTAAAGCAACACAGACTTCTCTCAGTTCCCTGAAACTCCCCCTCCATTACTCCCTAGCCACATAAAAAGTCCCTACTTTTTTGCTTTTGGGGAGAGATGGATTTGAGAGATCTTGTTCTCCCATCCTCTCAATTTTGTCAAATCAAATAAATCTTCCTCTGTCTCTAAGCACCGAAGTCTCAATGTTTTGGCCTACTAGTGCATGGACTAAGGTAATTTCCAAATATGCCTTAAAGATTGAGGGCACATGGCCCTTGTTGGTTTGGCTCGGTGGATAGAGTGTCGGCCTGTGGACTGTAGGGTCCCAGGTTTGATTCCAGTCAAGGGCACATGCCCGGGTTACAGGCTCCATACCCAGTAGGGAGCGTGCATGAGGCAACCGATCAATGATTCTCATCATTGATGTTTCTATTTCTCCCTTCCTTTCTGAA